TCTCTTGCCAAAAAGACCACAACATCTCCTTCATCTTCCCTCTCCCTATAATACAAGAACCCTAGCCAACATCTAGTTTTTTCTGGTCTGAGAGAGCACCACCTCTCTTCCATCCGCCGTTCTCCCAGTAAAATCTTATAACTAGCCAACATTTATTAAGAATTAAAAATCATTGAGTTGACTGTTATTTTTAGTTATTATCATACAACAAATGAGAAGGTGAATGGTAAAGTCAATTCTTTTGAAACATCCATAGATCTAGGGACTAGGGGATATAACATTGATATGCATGATCCATTGTAGTCTACTAAGAAGCTCCACTGCATCCGACGCAACGAAATCAAATGTATCAAATGCAAATGGTATGAACGCGTGTTGATTTTTCATGCACAGTTTCTCATGTTTGGTGACCTTGCATGTAGCTGCTTTTAATGCAGCTTGTCCCGCCGTGAAATCCTCGACCCTCAAGATTACGAGAGGGGATACCCCTGTAAGGTCCACACATACGTGTTTCCCTCCAACCCATCCAAAAATCAAAACGTCAGTCGGGCTAAGGGTTGACCTTCCTTCTGTCGGGTCAATCAGGAAATTTATAGGAGTCTTTTTCTTGGCGGAAACACCAACATGCTTACATATATCAACCAAACATCCCTAACCATATCGTGCTTGTATTTGAACCCCGAGAGTTCTTTGCAATGAACTGCATGCTCGTTGAAAGAGTCCAAACATGCCTTGCAGCACACCAGACATATTCCATTGGCTGGGAATATTGGAATCATGAGTCGATATTTGAGGATGGTATGATACTCCACCGGAGACATATGTTGGCCAAGCCCATCTATAGGGATAGCTATAAGAAAATCTTGAGCATGTGGTGCACGTAAACACAGGAAAACTGCTTTCTGCCGAGCCGTCATATTGAAATTCACTTCCATATCTTGGATAATTTTACTAAAAAGGGCACTAGCCAGTGTATTCTGGGATTTAGGGGGGTGTCCTTAGTAGTAAAACTGCCAAGGTCAATTTCTGGAAGCTTGTTACGAAGAGAATAGAAAGCACAAGCATAATCAGAATCCATACTATAAATGTCGCTATCCCGTAAGATGTGGTCTTGTAATACCCAAGATTGGGCCCTTGAGGCTACAAAAGCATATGAGGTAGCCTCTACTGCCAAGTATAAACCCAAACCACCAAACCGAATGGGTAGGGAAGCAAGTCGCCACTGTAAGTCGCCAAAGAAGGGGCCACCACAAACCACAATGTCCTCAATCACTATGCGTAATCCATTATTGAATAACAATGTCGCCTCCTCCATATGAACAAGTTGGCACCTTCAGCTCTCTTTATGGCTAAGTTGCGAATGAAACTTACATCTCTGCTAACAGCTCCCCCAAGAAGTTTCACCCCCAATGACGGCTTCCTGATGCCAACCGGGAATAGCCCCTCATGCACTTTCCTTCCGTCACATGAGGGACAAAAGAGCTCAGTTTTATTGATATTCAACTGAAGGCCCAATTTTGGGCCAATAGCCTTAATGATATCTAAGGCTTTGGCTACCTCCTCAGAATCTCCAATAAGTGTGTCGTCATCCAGGTACCATGCATGGAGAAGAAACTTGCAATTGTCTCTAATATTATGCAAGAGTGGGTGAAACACAAGGGCAAAGAGAAGTGGTCCCAAGGGGTCTCCATGTTGAACTCCAGTAGAAGGACAAATATGCGTGTCCCTTAGATATAACCTTGCTGCTTCACCATATAGGAATTCTACCTACAAGGATATAGAAAGGAACCTCAATCTGAGATCATGAAGTAATGCAGATCTGTCAACAAGGGTAAAGGCATTGGAGAAGTCCACCAGTAAGCATGGAAAGATACATGTCATTGTGGCATTTACTCAACACCCTGTTGACGCTATGTAATACGGCTTCAACGTCACCCGAAACCCCGACCCCGAACTGAAAATCATTGAGATACTTGGCCATTTCTGTACCAACATCTTTCATATCCAGCTTGGAAACCAAACGTCTCCATATAGTTCCTACTGCAATAATTTTTTTCTGCTTAAATGATACTATGTGATCAAAGATCTTCTCAAATATTGTCCTTTCTTTCCGACGTGTGACTATATGATCGAAGATTGTCACAAAGATTGTTTTTTCTTCTTGCTGACATATGACTATTGGAGTGGACTTTCGTAAGTATGTGATAAGAGATTGTCATAAAGATTTTCCTTTCTCTGGTCATGTTAGGCAAAAAGTGGTATGCAATAATGATTAACTTGATAAAAAAACATTTGTGGTATTTTTCCTAGCCACACATGTAAAAATATCAAAAGTAGCCTGTAAAATACCTATTTATGGTATTTTTGCAGGTATATATAAACTACAAAGTTAAAAAAAAAAATGGTTTGCAAAATACCACAGTTGGGTGTTTTGGCATAAACAACTTGCAAAATTACCATTTTTGTAGACTGTAAAAATACCAAAATTTACAGACAATTTACATTTTTCTGGTTAGCTTTAGTATTTGTCCCCCTTGTATAGCCTATGAAAATGGTCAACCCCGATTGAACCAAAATAGAAAAAGAGAAATGGCGAAAAAAACCCATTTTATGATATAAATGGTTAAAATTTGTGAGAAACCACCTCTTCAACTTAATTATTTTTCTCTTTTCTTCTTTACTATAAAATCCAACCCTTTAGACACGTGGGTAAAAGATACCCTCATTTTTTGTGGGCAACATCATTTCTTTCACTTTCTTTTCCATCACCTAAATCTACGGAATTGGTGGAAAGCTTCCCTCACTATTTGTTTTTTTTATTTTTTTAAATAAAATTAATTTATTTTTATGAATTATTATTTTTAAATTAATAATAAACAAAAAGTTTAATTAAAAAGCAAATGCATTTCATCAATTAAAAAAAATTACAATAAAACTAAGATTTAAAAAAGTAGAATATTAAAAAAAACCACAAACAAAAAATCAAATAAACCAACAACAACATATGGAAAATACTTTTTTCATAATTTTTCCCCTCTTCTTCATAATGAAGAAATGGTTGTATGACTGTAAACGAATCGAACGAACACGAACGAGGGTTTGTTCATGTTCGTTCGTTTAACAATTTACATTGTTCATGTTAGTTTGTTATGTTTATGGACATGCTAAATGAACATAACAAACGAACATAAATGAAAAAAGATAAACAAACATAATTGAACCTATATAAACATAAATGAACATATAATATAATAATGTAATCAAACACAATTTAACATACATGAACATAAAAGGAACTTATATAAACAATCATAAACGAACGTAAACGAACAAAATAAATGAACGTTCACGACATAACCGAACAAACGGGACCATTGTTAATGTTCGTTCGTTTAACTAAATGAATATGAATTTTCGTTCATGTTCATTCATTTATGAAATAAACAAACATAAACAAATTTTCTGCCGAACGGTTCACAACAATTTGTTGAACGTTTAATTCGTTTTACAACCCTAATGGTCGGTGTTTTCCATTAAAAACTTCATATCCTCCATTTTTTGTCTCTCCACGCGCTCATTTTTCATCGCTTCTTCTTTTTCTTTGTCGAACGCCAAACGTTCAACGAAATTAAGATTATATCAATCAAACGACGTTGTTATTTTCCGCATTTCATCAAGATCCATGCTAAAATCCGATACACCCGAAGAAGTCCCTTTTCCCTTCCTCCTTGCTTTGTCCCTACCCATCGGTCAGACAATTTCTTCTAGCTCGAGTTCGTCCTCCTTATTTAAATCTGGACCGACTCGAGTATCGAAGGAAGTTGTGTAACCACTAGAGCCCGATTTCGTTTGCTTTGATTGTTGTACTCCAAAAATAAAATCTCGCTCATATTTTTTCCACTTAGGACTTCTAACCAACTATTTCCAACAATCGTGTCACTTGAATGGTTTTCCGACTTCCTCAAGGTAGAATTGAAAAGCTTCTTGAAGTATTTCTTCGTCGTCTTTGCCGTTTTTTCGTTGGGTTTTTAGGTTGTTGTACAACTCGTTTATTTTTGAAACCCCATTTGCTATTTCTCGAAACTTCGAATTCATTTGGTGTTTCGTACGGTAGTCGCCATCTTTTCCTAGCTCCTCCCGAAACCGTTTTAAAATGCGAAACCAAATACGATCTCCCGGTTGAGCATTTCCCGTCTTCGAATCCTCAAAAATGTCAACACAAGCTTTTACCAAAACTAGCTATTCTTGTGGAAACCATGGTATCGGATTTTGTCTTCCCGGTTGTGTGACACCCTCGTGCGCTTGTTGTATTCCTTTGCGTCGTTGTGAGGGTGGTGTGAGTTGAATTTGGGGAACCATCTCTTCTTCTTCTGAGTCATCCAACTCGTCGACAAGTTGGAATTGTTGTTATGTTTTGGTTTGAGGTTGATTTGGCGAATGTTGATTGGGAAAAACAACAAAGTTTGAAAACATTTGCGGAGTAACATTTGGAACTCGGACCAGGTCATATTGTCTAACATTTTGGTATTGAAATTATAGTGGAGATTGAATAAGAGCTTCGAGTTGGAGATGATAAACTCCTTGTGATGATGAATCGATAGCAAAAATGTTTCAAATAGGGGTGCTTAAACTCGAAACATGAGTTTTTTCATTCTATCGGGGGTTGGGGTTTAATTGTCATTTTTTTTTTTTTTTGAAGAAAATAGAGGTTGTAGAGGGTTTGATTGAAGGTAAATGAGTATGAGTATTTGTACAGGTTGTAGATGGTAATTTTTTTTTAAAAAAAATACATTTTAAACCATTTAGCTGTTGCGAATTAAAAAAAATCACATTTACCGTTTTTTTAATGGTTTTACTTTTACAAAATAAATGGTTAAATTTTGTTAGAAACCAGCCCTTCAAGTTCAATATCTTTATCTTTTCGCCTCTACTCTAAGAGGGTGTTTGGCTTGCTTTTTAAAATGACTTTTGACTTTATCTTTTAGAAAAAGTCCAAAAAGATGTTTGGTAAGGTGAAAATAACTTTTGTAAATGACTTTTCCCATAGAGTATTTTGAGTCTTTTTGAAAAGTTACGTATACCTGACTTTTCCCAACTTTTCACGAGCTAAAAATTAGAAATTACCAATATACCCCTTATCTACCCTAATTAACATCATTCACATTCATTCACAGTTTACAGATACGGATCTCTCTCCTCGTTCTCTCCGTTCACGCACAATCCCTCTCGCATCTCGACCTGCAACAAACACCGACGACGCTGGCGACCTGCAACACCGGCGACCTGCAACCCCGCGATCAGGTTTGTTTCTTTTCAATTTGATTTCCGATCTCAGATGTTGCAATCTCTTCCTGTCTATTTCCGATTTCCATTTGATTTCCGATCTATGATGTTACGTTTGATTTCCGATTTCTGATGTTACATTTGATTTCCGATTTCTAAAATTGATATTATATGTAATTGATTAGTTGTGAAAATGATGTCTTGTGAAATGTGCTCCTCTCGATTTCGAATTTTCCATGAACTGTTCTTATCTCTAGCCTCTGAAATAATTGATATGCTGTGAAATTGATGTGTTGTGAAATGTGCTCCTCCCGATTTCAAATTTTCCTTGAATTGTTCTTCTCTCTAGCATCTGAAATAGTGATTTGTTCTTCCTGATTTCTAAAATATGTTGTGAAATAGTGATTATTTTGTGAACTTGATGAAAAATGAATTAACAATTAGTGAAATTGATGAAATATGAAGCTGATGAAATTTTTTGTTCATGGATTATAATTGTGTTAACATATGATTGTTTTGTGAAATTGATATGTTGTGATAATCTATTTTTTCTGTTTTGATTAGAATTTTGATAAACTAATGAAATCATTTAGAAAGGTTAATGAAATTGGTTTGTTGCTTAAATGTTAATACTATATGTAATTCACAGATAATGGATGAAAACAACACTACAATTGTTGATTGTGAAACATCTTTAAAAATGAAAAAACCAAAATTTAGGTGGGATAATCGTAGCTTCATGGTGTTTGTTGATTCGTGCTTGATTGAAAAAAAAAGGCCATAAACTTCCTCCTTTGATAAAATTGGGTGGAAAATATACAAAAACGCATTAAGGAGAAAACAGGTTATAGCCTTGAAAAAAAACTAACAAACAAATGGGAGAACATGAAAAAAGAGTGGGAGCTTTATGACTGCTTAATGAGGCTTGAAACCGGACTCGGTGGGACGAGAAGCCTAGTAGATGCATCCCCCGAGTGGTGGGAAGAGAAAATAAAGATATGATTACTATTTTTTTTAAATTATTTTAAGTTATGATTGCATATAGATTGAATATATTTGATTTACAATATCTTTTTGTCTTGCAGGAGAATAAAGATTATGTCAAATTTAGGAACACAGATTTAAGCATATTTGATGAGAAATATCCTATTTTGTTTCCGGATTCTATTGCCGTTGGAGATCAGACTATGACTCCATTACAATTTCAAAACAATAGCAATCCAAACAAAGAAAATATGGAGGGCAAAGGAGATAGTGATGAAATCAATTTAGATGATGATGAGTCTCTTTTTACTAGTCTCCATGAAAGTAGTTCAAGTAAAACGAAGAGGTCTAAGGTTCCGTTTGATAGTTGCTAACTGAGAAAGTGCTGACTGAGAAATGTCTGTTTGAGTAAGAATTTCTGACTGAATAAGAAATCATGATGTTTGATTGTTCATCTGACTAAACGTGCTGACTGATGCAAAATGACTGTTTTACCCTAATAATAATAATAATAATAATAATAATAATAATAATAATAATAATAATAATAAGATCATATAAAAGAAATCAATAGTCTTTCCCTAAAAGAATTATCTTATAGTACAGAAGTGGTCAACATCATCAAAAAAAATTAAAAAAAAAACAAATTGACCATAATACCCTTGAATTCTAAATCACAATAATCCATTAACTGCAAGATTTGGAACCACGATTGATATCTTAAAAGAAATCCCTCCAACAAGTATAGAAGTTGTCAAAATAGTTGCACCAAATAAGATTATATAAAAGAAATCAACAATCTTTCCCCTAAAAGAATTATCTTATAGAAGTTTGCAAAATAAACATATGAAACAGAATAGACATATGAAACAGAATTAAAAGGACAAAAATAGTACTAGTCAAATAAATATATAGAGAAATCTATAAAGAAAGTAAGAAACAATACATGAGATTTTTTACCTTATACGCCGCAGTGGAGATAACAAAATTGTTTAATTTTGGCAAAACAAATAACATGAATTGGAATCAATCCTTCACCAAAAGTACAAATCAAAATTAGGACAAAAATAGTACCAGAATCAATAAAACCATAAACGAACATCAACAATATCCCTGAATTCTAAGGGATTCACCACAGCAACCAAACGGAAATTGAAGATTGAGAAAGGGAAACAAGGAGGACGATGGAATTACAATCATCTGCAGTTTATACCTGATCGTGTTATTAGTTCCTGTGATTTTTGAAGCTATACATAGTTGTAATCATGAATTGAATAATCAATTAACAAATACAAAACATAAAATTACTTGATGATTATCCGGTTGCAACAAATAATTAGCAGAAGTCATGAAAAAAAGAAGATGCAGGGTTAAGATATCAATCTTGGTTCCAAATCACATGCAGCTAATGGATCACTGTGAGAGAAGAAACGATTCATTAAAAGATTAGAAAGAAAGAGAGGCATTGTGGAGGTGTCTTGACGTCTCTCTCGTCGAAGATCGAACGGAGGGACGGTCTTTCTGTCCCGTGGCGGCGATGGAGATGAAATGGAGAGCTGTCGATCAAGGCAGCCTCGTTGCTGGTATCGCTTTGGGAAGAAAGAAAAGAGAGGGTATAAGCGGAATTTTTTCAGTCAGCTGTATTTCAAAGTCTGACCGAGAAAGAGATGTGGGCCAGACGATCTGATTGAGAAAGATTCTATCAAACACATCTTGTCTGACCGAGTCAGCCCAACTTGCTGACTCGGTCCCAGTCAGATGATAACAAACAGGGCATAAGTCTGTTTCCAACAACCGTCCAACCAAGAGTAAAAATTCAATTTATGAAGAAAAAGTTGATGCTTTATTGGATGCCATGTTATCAAAAGGCACACAAACTTATCCACAAAATAATCCGTCCCCAACAATAGCAGATTGCATGGCCATTGTCATCAAGTTCCCCGATTTTCGTAAAGGGTCCAACAATTTTTCACAAGCCTTGTTTGTCTTCACTAAAAAGCAAAATCGTGAAACTTTTATGTTTCCAACGACCGACGAAGCCAAGATGGAGTTTCTTAAGTTACTTATGAAATAATGATTTAGCCATATGTGTTATGCTTTGACATTTATGTGTTATCCTTTGACAATATGTGATATGCTTTAACATTATGTGTTGTCCTTTGACATTATGTATTTAACATTTTATATTATGTGTTATTGTTTGTCTTTATGTTATGTGTTAATGGTTGACATCATTTTATTTGTATTATGTAGGATGGATAGTGATGATTCTAATTCATCGAATGGTAATGAAGAATGTGTAATGGAAGAGGATAGAGAATTTGAAATGTTATGTGGATTAGCTTTGAAAGGGATAATACTCGCTCGTAACTTACGTACACCATGTCACACTTCAGATCGCACTAGGCACATGTTTATTACATAAGTACTAAATAGTCATCCTAGACGTTGTTATGAGATGTTTAGACTCAATGTACCGGTTTTTAGACAGTTATGCTTAGATCTTGTGACAAATTATGGGTTACAACAAACACGAAAAGTATCTATAGAGGAGTCTGTAGGAATATTCTTGATGACTTTGGCGCATGGGTGTAGCAATAGATTTGTGCAAGAATTTTTTTATCATTCAAGCGAAACGATTCATAGGCATTTCCATACAATTTTGGAAGCCGTGCTAAAACTGAGTGCCGACATCATCAAGCCAGACGCAAACTATAATGATGATGTTCCTGAATATATATTAAATAACCCTCGGTATTATCCAATATTCAAGGTATTATCCAATGTTTATTTTCTTAGTAGTCAAACTTTAACAAATAATTTATTTATGATATATTTTTGAATTTGAAGGATTGCATTTGTGCTATAGATGGGACACACGTTAGGGCATCGGTTCCAAAAAAAAGATGAAGTGAAGTACATTGGTCGAAAGGGATATGCAACACAAAATATAATGGTTGTTTGTGATTTTAACATGTGCTTTACATTTGTTTGGGTCAGTTGGGATGGGACTGCACACGATACAAGAATTTTCATTGAAACCTTACAGAGACCGAATCTTAATTTTCCCTATCCAACGGGTGGTTAGTATTTTTTTTTTTGGAACACAAGTTTTATGTTTTTACTACCTGTTTGAAACGAATAATAAATGTTTGTTTTATTTACAGATAAATATTACGTTGTTGATGCTGGATATCCAAATATGAGAGGGTATCTTGCTCCATAGAAAGACACAAATATTCGTTATCATTTACCAGATTTTCGACGTGGACACACGGCTGCTATTCGTGAACCTCGTGGACCGAAAGAGAAATTTAACTATCTCCATTCATCATTGCGAAATATCATTGAACGAACTTTTGGAGTGTGGAAAGTTAGGTGGGCGTTAATAAGAGACATGCATGTTAATTACAAGTACAAAAACCAAGTGGAAATTGTGATAGCATCGATGGCGATCCATAACTACATTAGAAAGGTTGGTAGGTTTGATGAAGCGTTTAATAGGGCACAACAAGAATCCTACAATCCCGTACGAGGTGATACCGGTAGTGATGTTTACGAAGAAGGTCCAAGTACACGTCGCACGAACGATGATGATTTATATATGGCAACGAGACGGGATATTATTGCACAAGATATAATCATATTACGTAGATGAAAGTAATATTATCTATGATATTTTTTATGAATTATTTACAATTTGTATGAACGTAATTTTAATATTGTCAGATCTAATCCAAAAAAGTAGAAATATTTTAATTTGTATGAACGTAATTTATATTTTACATTTGTATGAACGTAATTCTAATATTGTCATGATCTAATACAAAAAGTCCTCTTATGAATTATTTACAATTTGTATGGACGTACTAATTTTAATTTTATCATGGTATAATCTAAAAAATTAGAAATATTTTAAAAGAAATTTATATTTTATATTTTCTAATAAAATGTTTATAAAATTATAATATATGTTTAAAATTTTTTTTAAGTATAAGATAATATATATAAAGTAGTAAATCGATATAAATATGTAAACATATCTTTTTTTGTTATTTTAATTTTTGATTTTTCTCTTCAAAAATTAATCTAAAACACATTTTAAAAAAATAACTTTTTTTTTTTTAAATTATTTTTAAAAAAGTATGTAAAAGGACTTTTGCCCCACTCCTCTAACCATTTGTAGCCGACTAGCCGGTTTAAACCGATACTTTAGAAGAAATGACCTTCAAGAAACTCCCAAGACCACCACCACTCTGCCGTCGTCCACCACCGTCAACCACCGCTAACCTTCTACCCCCACCGCCACCTCCCGATACATCACTCACTACTCTCCCAATCCTCTCTCTTCCCTCCTCTACCTCAACCACTCAATCCCAACTCACCGATTTCATCAACACCCACCTAAAAAACAACCTCACCCCGAACGACCTCCTCTCCTTCCTCAAAAACCAGCTCCACCACCATCCCAAATTTGCTCACCTCGACCTCCACGTCTTCCGCCACGCCTCCACCCTCGATTCCTTCCGCCACGACCACTCCACCTATGAATGGATGGTCCGCACCCTTGCCATAACCCACCGCCTCGACTCCCTATCACCCCTCCTCGATTTCATCGTCTCCAATCCCTGCCCTTGCTCCGACGGTATCTTTTCTTGCTCACGTACCGAACCCATCTTCCGTTTCGCCATCAATGCGTACTGTAACGTCGGTAGGTTTGACGATGCACTCCAAGCGTTTGATAAAATGCGTAAACTAGTAGATGGGAAACCTAGCACAGCTATATACAATATCATGATCCATAGTTTCGTAAAGTACTGGAAATTCGAAAAGGGTTTGGATTTCTACGGGAGAATGATTCAAGATCGAGTGAACCCCGACGTGGTCACTTTTAACATATTGATTAATGGGTATTTTCGCAATTCCAAATTTGGGTTAGCATTAGAAGTGTTTAAGGAAATGAGGGTCAAGGGTTGTGTTCCAAATGTGGTGACTTTTAACACTTTGATCAAGGGATTCTTTAGGGAGAAGAAGTTGAAAGAAGGAATAGGAATGGCATATGAGATGATTGAATTGGGGTGCAGTTTATCGAGTGTAACTTGTGAGATCTTGATCGATGGGCTTACCAAGGAAGGAAGGGTTTATGAGGCTTGTGATCTCATCCTGGATTTTTCAAGAAAAGGAGTTTTACCAAAAAAGTTTGATTATTTTGGGTTAATCGAGAGTCTTTGTGATAACAGGAATGAGGTTAATAAAGCAAGATTAATAGTAGATGAGATATGGGAGAAAGGAAATGCTCCAAGCTCCATCACTTGTACTATTTTGATTGAAGGTTTTAGAAGGGTTAAGAACACAGAAGCAGCATTTAAATTGATGGATAAAATGCTTAATTATAAAGACACTATTGTTCCTGATAGTGTGACTTTTAACTGTCTTCTTGGTGATATGTGTAGTTCAGGAAGAAGTGTGGAGGCTAATAAATTGAGGGTTTTGGGTTATGAGAAAGGTGTATGTGTAGATGAGGTAAGTTATAGCATATTAGTATCTGGATATTCAAAGGAAGGAAAAAAGGAGGAGGGGAAGGTTATAGTGGATGAAATGTTGGATAAGGGGTTTATACCTGATATTGCTACTTATAACTGGTTGATGAAAGGGCTTGGTTTTGGATGAAAATATCAGATTTTGATTCATAAAACACTTGAACTCTTGAAGTTTGAATATTAAAAAGTTGGGTTCAAAAGTATGTTATTAATTAAATGAAATAGTTTTTGTTAGTTGTAGATTATAACCCATGACAAGAGGTCGAGGAGTGTAAAAAGAAATGGTTTATATCCAATGGAAAGATTGTTACTTGGTCCTCACAATTGGTTAAAGAGGTTGCACATTGCACAAAGAAATAATCGATTTGTTTTTTCAATGTACTTTATGTAATTCTTTTAACAATAGTTGGGTTGTTTTTAAGTTGGAATACATGATTATGTAAATGTTAAAAAGATCAGTTATAAATGATTAAAGATAAAATGTTACGTGTAAAAAAAATGTCAAAATATATAAGCATGCCTTTGTTTGTCATTTTACATATATAATAGTTTTTTTTCAAACACTCCAAAAAGTATGTCACTTGATAGTGTTTTGCTTCCCATAAGGGAATCCATACATTTTTTGAAAAAAAAAATAATAATATATTTTTCGATTTGTATATATTTGGAAACTGAGTTTTTTTCGATTTGTTAAACTGTACATATTTAGTCCTTATGATCGGTTACTTCAGGTTAGTTTGGAAAAAAATAACTTAATAGAGTAATATATTTCTCATTTTGTATACATTTACTCATTAATATTTTTGTATATATTTAGTTCTTAATATTTTTTTTGTTTCAAAATAAGTTCTTTTTATTTTTGTACTCATTCAGTACTTATGAATGATTTTTTTAGATTTTTCTCACGACATTTTACGTGAGACGATCATTGGTGAGAGGTGTCGAGCTGTTGATGTTTATGTGTAACGCCCTATTTAAATAAGGCAAAACTTCCTAATTGTAAATCCATTGTTAAGAAAATCGTTTATTCCAAGATACATTTATTGAAAATCAGGGTAATATAAGAAATGCAGAATCCTCAATATTGTTGATGAGTATGTACAACCTTGCCTTCGCCTTCCCACGATCAACGATAGAACCTGACAACGTAAACAACTGGGTAAACACAAAACTTAGTGAGTTTCCCCCAAAATACTCCATACAACAAAGGTACTATCATGTATAACGGACCCACAATCATCAGATTGGAATACTCTGGTCCAATCAGTCATCGAATTGGAATGCCAACATGCAATGGGTCCAATCACTCATCAGACTGGAATACCCAGGGTTCATTGGCATGCCGCCTCAACCCAACCGCTCCGGTTCGTTGGCATGCCGCCTCAACCCAACCGCTCTTCTCGAGCCTCCATGTCTACGACTTACAGCCAACTCGTATCAGGTATCTTGGCCTACAACACATAGCAGGACCGCTTCAACCTATCCAACCACCATATGTCGACATATAAATAATCAAGGATCAAGTAGTCACATAATACAAACAATTATCAATCATATATCTCACTATCGCCAACTAGTCCTCTTATAGCATAATGCACTGCACCCAACTAACCTCTATAAATTGCGTAACCATACGTAACCAGAGGTGATATAGCCACCCGAATAGATGATTCTACTCTGGAGCCACAACCAAACAAGGAACATACAAGAAAGCCTATATTAAAAGTTCTCAGGCTATCCTATATGACTACATATAGCCCATATGACACTCCACTAAACGATAACCAACCTACTGGTACTCTAACCAACATACTACTATTGTTGCATCCTATCATACAAGGATTTATACATAAATCTAGTAGATCACTACAACTCACCAACATCCTATACAGAAGGATACATAACAAACAATCCAAGGAATGTGTAACCATAAGTAATTAGATGTGAGATAGTAAGTAAAAATATATTATTTTTAAATAGGAGTAATCTAAACAAAAGTTGCAGTAGACTAAAATATGAATGCATGGATATAAATATCATTAAAATCCAAGATCATATGAAGAAGATATAACGTTCATAACACATGACCTAAGCAACCAAATAGTCGAGATTGCGATGGTCATAAGCATCAAAAGTCCAAAACATCTCACTAATGATTATCCCACGTAAGATATCGTGAGAAAACCTAAAGAAATCATTCATTAGTACTGAATGAGTACAAAAACAAAAATAAATTATTTTGCAACAAAAAATATTAAGGACTAAATGTGTACAAAAATATTAAGGACTAAATGTGTACAAAATGATAAATATATTACCCTATTAAGTTATTTTTACCGGTTAACCTAGAGTAGCCGATCATAATAAATGTGTACAGTTTAACAGGTTGAAGGGGGTATATGTGGACGAAAAAAAATCCAGTAACAAAATGTGTACAAATCGAAAAATATATTACCCTTTTAAATCATTATCCCCCCAAAAAAAAAAACTATGTATTGCTACCTGATCAATTAATAAACATTTTTTGGTCTCTTTTGTTCAAACTCAAATCCAACGGGATGAGCAAAAACCAAAGACAATATTAAATCTGTCATGTTCTTCTCCTATATAAGAAAAAGTCATTTCCATTTAGCTTTAATCTTATAAGTACTCCCACATCGCTTGATGCAAAATACACCCATCAATTTCATCTATATTAATGATTTCTCAACTATCTCCTCGATGGCATCCAAAGTTTTAGCCGTTTTAATTTGAAGTGCAGCAAAGTCATGTGGTTAAAAATCGAATTGCGCCACACTGCATCAAAAAACCGATAAAGCGCACCACAAATAAACCGTGCCATTCATTTTTGTGATTGGAAACCACATTTGCGGTTTACAACTCGGTTTTGACCAAAAACTATAATAAACCGCACCATGCTTACTGTTACCCTCTAAGTTCCCATCTACAATAAGTAAATGTCATGTGATATCATTATTACATAAAATAAAATAAAATGGTATGATAATTAAGAAATTAGAAATAAATTGTTATACATAAAATGTTGTTAAGATTTGAATCTTTTGCTGCAAGCCAAAAACGATACGGATCGCAACATGATCAATTTTGTAGCAAGATTAGATCTAAGATTGTAAGATTGTATGTAGGAACTCAATATCAAATAATGATTCGATCCCACCCTTTTTACTTTTGTCTTTAGTATCTAAAATATAACTTTAAGTTCTTTCCGAACACTAAAAAATGAATCTCATACATTATTTCAACAATGCTTTGCATAATCATATTTTTTTTTTCCATTCTACTCAAAATCTAGCCTCAAATTTATCCAATGAGTTGGAAAACCGAACATTACATATAGCATGAAACGACATATAGCCTCACAACTTCATATATATATATATATATATATATATATATATATATATATATATATATATATATATATATATACACACACACACACACACACACACACACACACACACCCACACACATAATTTTTTTGAAATGATAAATCTAACCTACTCCTAAACTACACCTTAAATCCACCTATATCCACGATGAGACTTGAACCTTCAGCTTGAAAGAGGGAGGGTAACACCGGATATCGCTAGACTATATATATATATATATATATATATATATATATATATATATATATATATATACACACACCCACACACACAATTTTTTTGAAATGATAAATCTAACCTACTCCTAAACTACACCTTAAATCCACCTATATCCACGATGAGACTTGAACCTTCAGCCTCAAAGAGGGAGGGTAACACCGGATATCGCTAGACTATATATATATATATATATATATATATATATATATATATATATATATATATATATATATATATTAAAATATTGCTATCTTTCAAACTTTATATAACCGGTGAAAGATAGGTAGGGTGTGTTAAGGACACAACTTTTGAAAGCTTCCACCTTTTTGATTTTAAGAAAAAACTCAAAAAAAAAAAATGTTTGACAATAGGAGTTTTTAAGTGGCTAAAACAATAAATTTCAAATTCAAAAGCTACTTCAAGTAACGTTTACAAAAAAAAATTATAAATTAACTTAATTACCTATTTTTAAAACCAATAACATGCTTTACATCTACTTTTGCCGAATATTCATAAACAAATAAAAAATCCAATGACTAGGTTTACTGAATATGCCTCTACGTTTCAGTTTCAAACTTATAATTATTTTAGTTTAGTAAGATGGTAATATAACTTATTAAGGTAATTAACTTTTCGGTTTGTTGACATCTGAGTAACTAATTTTTTTGTACACATCTAGCTAACGAACCTTTTGAAAGTGTTTACATATGACCATTATGACATGTTGTAGCAAGGTATATCGGGTTATAATAGTTATATGTGAACACTTTCAGCAAGTTCGTTACCTAGATATGTACAAAAAAAATAGTTACCAAAATACCAACAAATAGAAAAGTAAGAGTAAATTACACGAATGGTCCTTATGGTTTGGGAGAATTTGTGTGTTTGGTCTCTAACTTATTTTTTTAACTTGGATGATCCATATTGTTTGTTTTTTTGCATGCTTGGTCTCTGTCTTACCTAAAAAGACTATTGTACCCTTATTAACTTATTTTTTAATTAATTTTCTATTTTTCTTATATATGTATTTATATTTTATATATTTAAAACATTAATAGACCCCACATATATGTATCTCCTTACCCTAAATCTGAAACCACATTTGAAAATTTTAATCTGAGTCCTACCGGTCACCATCCCATCTCTCATCCTCCCCAACTTTTATTTCATTTCCATCTTTAGTAACATTGACGTCTTCACTATCCCTTATTTTTTGGGTCATTCAATTCCGGCGAAACAACACCACAACGTACTGTCTCTTCATTATTATTTTCACTACCACAACCTAATGCGTTGACGTCTTCACTATCCCTTATTTTTTTGGGTCATTCAATTCCGGTGAAACAACACCACAACGTACTGTCTCTTCATTATTATTTTCACCACCACAACCTAATGCATCACAACTTCTATTTCCTTTCCCTCTTTTGTGGTGTTGATTCACCGAAGTTAAATGACCGAAAAATAAAAGATTGTGAAGACGCCGATGTCATTAAAG